TCCCCCCGACCACGCCCAAAGCACCCACGGACCGGCTGCCGCCTCTTACTCGGCAAGGGCGGGGCGTCCCATGAACTCATCCCGGTGCCGGTGGGCCCCACCCGCTCCCACCCTGGACCCCTGAGGCAGAGCCCTGGGGCAGTGAGTCGGCTTCTCCTCCCAGGGCCAGACCCACCCAGGGGTCCCGTCCCCGCCCCAGGGCCCGGGCCCAGGCTCTGCTGCGGGGAGAGGGCGGCACAGACTCCGGCCAGCCTCCCTGGGAGGGGAAAGCTGGGGGTCCAGCGGAGTGGGGGCCAGTGGGGAGGCTGCTGCTAACCCTCAAGGTGCCTGACGCCTGTGGGGATTGCCCTCCCCCCTCCATAGCTTCCAGGTGTAGAAGAGGAGACGGAGGTTCTGAGTGGCCAGACCAAGGAGCAGGGGCTAGTGGGAGGCCCAGGGTCCCCACCCCACCCCCTTAGCCTCCCGGTACCCGAGTGTGGCCGCGGGACCCCCAGCCTTGGCCGGGTTCTCGGTGCAGAGCCACCTGCGGAGTTCCGCCCACGCAGAGCCCACCCGGCCCCTCGCGGACCGTGTGCGCCAGGCACCCCCGCGGCTTTGTAAGCACGTGGCCCCTTCCAGGCCCCCGAACCCCGAGAGCTGGCATCAGCACCGCCCCATCCTGCGAAGGAGAAAACGGAGGCCGGGAGGAGTGGGGTGCGCGCCCAGGCCATGTGGGTGGCCCGGCCCTGCCCCCCTCGAGCCCCCCCACCCGCCCGGGGCCCCTTCCCAGCAGGCGTTTCCCCGGAAAGTTTCCCGGCGTTTTGCGGAGCTGGCTTCCGCGCGACCCACCCGGCCCTGGCGGTAACTGACTGCTCTCTAATCAGATTGATTTCCATTCCGGAGAGTCCTGCGGCCGCCTCGGTTCCAGGAACGCGCTTGGAGCGCCAGTGTGTAATCGGAGGGCCGGGAGCCGAGGGCGCCGCGGGCCTCCCCGCCAGCCGCAGGAAGCTGGTCGGCTGCACTCTGGCCTGTCACTTCTACATCCCGTTGCTGGGGGGGCCTCCCGCAGGGGTGTGGGTGCCTTCGGCCCAGCCCCAGTGATGTCATCTGCCCCCTACCAACCACTCCCCCCACCCCCGCAGGGCGGCCTGGCAGCTCATCTGCTCTGCCCTGGCTTGGAAGCGCCACTGCGGGCCCGGGTGGGGGCTGAAGCGAGGCCCTGGAGTCAGCTCCTGGGTCTGCAGAAGCCCTGGCCCCGGGGGGCTCTCTGGAGGCTCTGGGGGGGAGGGGGAGGCCCTGCAGCCGTTTGAGTGTCCATGGCCTGTGCAGGGAGACAGAGGCCGGGTACCTTGGCTCCCCCCTTCTGCAGCCCCCCGGACCCTGCAGCCCAGCCCTGAACCCAGAGGGACATTTCTCAGGGCCCCCCCAGCCCCCGCAGTACCTCCTGTTGGGGGGTCTGACTTCACGTGCCTCCTCTACTCTCCACCTCCGCCTCCCCACCCTGCCCGGGCCCATGGCCCTCAGGATGACCCTCGGCTGAGGCCCCAGGCCCCTCTCAGGTTCCGGGCTCCACTCTCACGGCTCAGGACTTGGGTCCCAGAGACGGGGGCGGGCCTGGGGCCCCTGGACAGGGAGGTGGGAGGGGTCTCTGACTCAGGGCCCTCGGCCCCATGCTGCTGGTCTCACTAGCCCACCCTGGGGTGTGCAGACGGCTCACGCCCCCCTAGGTGACTCAGCCTGCGGGGACACTAACGTGGGTCCCTGCAGCAGCCGTCCTGCTGCCACAGGTCAGGCTTCGGCCCTGCTCCAGCCCCACAGCCACGCCGCTGCCCGTGCTCAGCACCCCATGGGGACACCTCCCAAGGAGGGGCCCGGGGGCCTGGCCCTCCTCTCTCCAAAGGGACCCCCAGCTCAGCAGACTGGGGAGGTCAGAGCCGAGTCCGCAGGGACACCCCACAGGCACGGGTCCATCGTCCGGGGCGAGGGGACCGCCAGGGAGTGGATGTGGAAACTCAAACTGTGCGGGAGATGCGCACACTGGGCCGCCAGCAGGCCTCCACTCGGAGCGGGACCGCCATCCGGGGTCAGAGGTCAGAGGTCAGAGAGGCAAGGCTGAGCCGGACGCTCCACTCACTGAGCAGGAGCGGCAGCGGCTGGAGGTTTTATCAAGTGGACCGGAGAGTGGGTTTTGGCCACCAGTTTGGTGAAAGCTGGAACCGTCCCACGCCCCAGGGTTGGCGAGAGGGGCAGACACCCCGCCCCGCGCTCCCGGGAGCCCGGGCAGCAGGAGCCCGGCAGAGCGGGCGAAGCGGTGTGGCCGCAGCCAGTCCGAGTGAGCCCCCTCCCCCGAGGGGACTTGTCACCCCAGCACGGGAGTGCGGGTGCCCCAGGGGACTGGCCCACAAGGCGTGTGGGCCTGTGGACTGGCACAGAGCTGTCCACGCCACGTGGGAGTGGCCTGGGTGTCCAAGTGCCACCCCCTGCGCGCCCTCTCACACGGGCGGCGATGTCCCAGTCCTGCAGGGTCCTCAGGTGGTCAGCACGCAGGGCACCAGGCCCACCCGGACCTGCACGGCCCCATGGGAATCATAACAGCCCACCCCCTTGCTGCACAGGTGGGGAAACCGAGGCATGAAAAGGCAGCGTCGGATGGGTGTTCCAGTGTTCAGCTTGGGGTGCGCCCCCGTCTCTCCCACAGGAGGGGGGGCTTGTGGCGGAGTGGAGCCGCGGTGTGGGGGATGTTAGGGGAGGGGGCACCAGGGAGGCCTGGGGCGGGGGAAGGGGCGGGGCTCTGGAGAGCTGACCAGGGAGGCTGGCACGTGGGCCCCCCTGGGAAAACGCCGGGGCCTCCAGGGTGTCAGGAAACCGCTCTAGGTGGGCCCCTGCGGCCCACTCTCTCTCCACACACCCGTCCCCCCTTCGGCCAGGGGGTGAGGCACAGAGGCTGACAGAAAGGGAGGGGCTTGGGGCTTCCCTCGGCCACGGTTGACAGGAGGGAGGCTCCCAACCCCTCGGGCACCTGCCCGCCAGCCCTGGGGGGCCCAGGCCCGCCCCCCACGAATCTCGGTTCGGCTTCCGCAGCCTGGTGCCAGGCCAGCTGACTCGGCTGGCTTGGGCAGATGCCCCGCCCCCACACCGTGAGGGCCGAGTCTGTCTGTGGAGCCGGCCTGCCAGGGCCCCTCCACGCAGACCGTGAGCACACACGTGTCCACACGGGCTTATCCGGCACCGCCGTGGGCACTGGGGCGTGAACGCCTGCCTTCTCCCGAAGGATTCTGGCAGGGCCTCCCACCCCCTTCCGGACGCCTCCCACCCCCTGCCTCTGATTGCCCAGGCCCTCACCCCAGCCAGTGTCCTCCCCCCTCAGGGACAGCAGCGAAGGACCTGCCCCCACCCCAGGAGCTCCCGCCTTTTGTGCGGAAGGACAGAGGCTCTGGGTCCTGCTGACCGGCCACCCTCCTCCCAGGGCAGGACGAAGGGGTGGGGGTGGGGCGGCCAGGGCGCTGAGGCAAGTTCTGACAGTGCGGCCAGTTTCTATGGAGGCTGTGAGGGTGGGCGGCCACGGGAGGGCACAGAACACAGGCTGACAGGTGCCCGCTCCCCCCCTGGACCCCCACCAGGGGTGGGGGCTGGGCAGCTCTTCTGGAGGATGCCCGCTGGGTGCCAGCCCAGACTGTCTTCTCCCCGCCCCCGCCCCCCACACACCACGGGCCTCTGGGTCCTCCGCGCAAAGGGCTCGGGCCTGCCTGCCTGCTGGGGGCCTTCCGGACAGAGGGGGGCCCATGGCCCAGAGGCTGGGTGTCTCCACTGGCCCAGGTGGGTGTTCTGGGAACCCACCCTGCCCAGCGGCTTCGAGGCTGGAGGGGAAGGGGCTTTCAGGTGGCTGAGAGGACTCGGAGGAGCTGGGTGAGGGCGGCAGGAGCAAGACCCAGAGCAGGAGGCGGAGGCCAGGTGCGTGCCCGCTGTCCGGGGCTGGGCTGCGCGGGGCAGGGCGTGGGGACAGGCTTCTCGGCATTCCCGGGGGACAGTGTCCCGTGGCCCCTGCAGGAGCGGAGGGCTGGGGCGCCCCCAGACCAGCATGCCCATTGCCGCAGGGGTCCCCAGTGCCGAGGGCCCTTTGGAAACCTCACCCATCCATTTTAGGCTTTGCGCCTGCTGCGTGCTGACCACGGCCCCCGGGTCACCCCCTTCTGGGGACCCCTGCCCGATAAACAGGCAGGCAAGTCAAGTCCCAGCTCCAGCAGAGCCTACCAGGGGCTACCAATGAAGCCCCAGCAGGGGAGAGGCCAGGGCGCTTTTGTGAGGTCAGAGGTGGCTGCTGCGGATGAGACCCTCACAGGACAAAAGGCAGCGAGGACCCTGCCTGTCGGTGTCCACACGTGGGAAGCAAATTCGAGGGCCAGCGACCACGTCCCCGCACACATTGATACAAAGCCGTGCCTGCCTGGGGCCGGGGGAAAGCTCGGGAAGGCCCTTGGGGCTCCAGCAGGCGAGGAAAGGCGGAGACAGGTGCCAGGCTGGAATCCGAGAACCCCAGGCTCTGCTGGTCTGGGAGGGACAGCTCCAGGGGCAGTTGGGACAAGGGACCCCCGCCTGGCAAGGGGCTCCCAGCAGGCCAGGTAACCCGCTCTGCCCACTTGCAATTCCCCCACCATCCACGGGGGGGCAGGCCTGGTACAGCAGGAGGTTGGGACAGGGGAGGAAGGCTTCTGCACACCTGGTGGGTGGCAGGCAGGTGAGCCAGAGGGGGCTTTCCCAGTTTGCAGACCGTAATAAAAAAGGAGAGGGTCTTGCCCAGGCCCAGGCCCCCCAGGACATCCTACCCAGCAGCCCCCTTCCCTTGTAAGGCAGTGTGGGAGGGAGGATAAATGGACCAGGTGTGGACAGTGGGCGGCGAGCCTGCAGGTGGTCCTGAGGGTGTCCCAGAACCGGCTGCCCTACCCGCAGCAGCCCCACCTGCCCCAGCCCCGCCCTGGCTTTTCCCGGCAACCTACGGCCCAACCAAGCAAAGCGCAGGTGACTCGGGTTTGAACTGACTTTATTGTTCTGTAAATGTGAACTTTACAAAGCGCTTTACAACGAACAGTCGTGTTCTTTTGTCTGTCTGTAACGGATTCCCACCTCCCGAGGCGGCTCTGCGCATGTGCGCGCGCGCGCCGGGAACCCCAGTCCCGGTCGCGGCGGCAGACGAGTCTGGAGGCTGAGTGACCGGCGCGGCGAGAGTCTGGGCTCCGCTGCGGAGCAGCCCCGAGACTGAGACGCAGCGAGAACAAAGGTTTCCTCCTCCTTGAAAAAAAAAGAAAGAAAAAAGAAACCAGCTAGCATCTTCCGTGGCTGAAATCAAACGCAGTGGCACGGGAAACCAACCTTTCTACAGCCCAGGAACGGTTTACGTACTTCTTTATTTGTTTTTAACAGTCATGAGTTACAGTGCTGCCCGCCCCTCCCTCCGACCTCACCACCACCGTCTCCTGGAGAAGTCCTCTCCCCAAACACCCCGTCCGGGGGACGGATGGTCTGTTTGCGCCCAGTGTCGGCCAAATGTTCAAGTCAAAAATATTTATACATTTTTATATTTAGTTTTTCTTTTGTGTGTGTGTGTGTCTGCTAAAAATAGTATTGCGAGTTTTGGCTTCTGTTGACATAAAAATTACAGTCATGTGCAAAACGCTAACAACGAAGCGACCGATCAGAATTCGAGCAGGCTGTCCAATCTGAAAGCGTTAGATTTCTGCATAATTTTCCTTCTCGTTTTTTTTTTCCCCCAAAGAAACACAACAAACAAACAAAACAACCAACATGTTGTCGCCATGTTAGAAAACACCTTGTCCGGAGCCCTGCCGGTCCCAGGGCTCCCACCGGCCGGCCGGCGCCATGACGGGTGGCGGCAGCGGCAGCGGTGTTTGAAACAGCAGTTCAAGCCCCAGGCAGGCAGCGAGGGCCCGCGGCTCTGCGGGCCGGTTACTGCCGGCAGAGGCAAACGGGCTTTCTCGTTTTCCGTTGGTTTATGGCTCACTGGCCTTTCTCTCCTGCAGCAAGATGCTTCCCCCCAAATAACCCGTCTAGAGGAGGATCTGAGCAGGAACCGGCCGGGGGGGCCGCCCCGGGCCGCGCACACCCGAGTCCCTGCACAGTCTCCCGCCGCCGCCGCCCTCCTCCTGGCTCCGAACACAGACACAGACCGGACAGACGACCCTGGAGGAGAACTAGGCGGGGCTCCCACCCACACGGGACAGCCGGGGAAGGGGCAGCAGGCTCCCACCCGCAGCCTCTCCCCCTTGCCTCTGGTCCACAGCTGCGTCCACGGTCAGGGCAAGGCGAGACAAATCGAATCCAATGCAAAGTTAAGTGACCACAGAGAACTCTGGGCGAGGCCAGACACAGTGCAGAAAACAAGACAGAATTCAAGTACCCAGGCACGCCGGCCAGGCGGGCGGGCCCCGCCCCAGCTCACAGTATCTGTCACTTCGAGGGTCCCTTCCCCGGGACCTTTTGCACTCCATCCCAGCCGCCTCCTGCAGGGGGGCGGGGCGGCGGCCGGAGCCCGGACCGGCGCCACGCCGGCGCCACGCCTTCAGTCCCTTCGCTCCTCCCCCTCGACGCGGCGCCGCTACGACTTAGCTCTATATAGGACTCTATGTAGTATATGCATATTGCTAGTAGTCAAGCTCAGGGATAAAGGTGCACACATCTCATAAATACTGAGTGGCTCGTCTCTCCAGCTACAGGGTCTGGGGGTCGGGGTCACGCTGACGGGACAGGGGTTAGTCGTCTTGTAAACAGAGGAGGGGGGAGGGTCCGGTGTTCGTAATCGGTTTTCCTTGGGAAAAAATGATCAAAAGATGCTAAGGCACTCTGGAAGGCCCCCGAGCCAGGCCGCCGCCGCCCGCCCCGCGGAACGTCGGGGCCTCGGAGGGACGCCCCGGCACGTACAATCATCAGCCACGCCCGCCCGCAAACGCTCCGGACCCGCGTCCACCGCGCGGGACACTTTAGTGCAAAACGCTCGGCCCGGCCCGCCGGGGGCCCGGGAGAGCTCGGAACCCATTCACATTTAATGATTAGTTTCCCCTAGGGCTTTGCCTTCCTTCCCCAGAACAACGAAAACAGACGGCGGTTGCAAACGACGAAGGGGCGGAAGTCACGGGACATTGTGCTGGCCTGCGCGGCGGTCAGGCCTTCTCTGTGCGGCCGCCGCCGCCGCCGCCCCCGCCGGGCCAGCGGCGCCCCTCCCCCTCCTGGCCCCGGTGGGTGGCTGCGCCCACTTTGGAGCGGAGAAGGGAGACAGAGCGAGCCCTTCGGTCCACAGCCGGGACGGGTGGGCCCGTCTCCCGAGGGTCCCCAGGGATGGTCAAATTAAAGTGCAAATTTGGGTGGGGGGGGCAGACCAAGGAAACTCCAGATGGGAGATGGGTGGGGGTCAACCTCACCCACCATCACCTCCCCTGCCCTGAGGCCACCTGTGGGTGCCCGGGGAGTATGGGCTCCTCCCAGTTCCAGGAGGGCTCAGTTCTGGTCCCTAGCGGGCGGGCAGGCGGGCCGGTCCCCGACAGGGAGGAAGAGGTGGAGGCCCGCCTCTGGGCCAGCTTGCGGCCCGTGTGCAGCTCCAGTCCGAGCCGCGGCCGTGGAACTGCCCTGCACTCAGGCAGGGCCAAGCGGGAGAGGGGCTGCAATGGGCTCCCAGGTGCCCACCTTGGGCTCCTCCCCCCACCTCCTTTCGGAAATTGTCAGGTCTTTCTGGAGGCCAGGCCCACATCCACCCTGGCTGGAGGGGGCCAGGAGGCAGCGTGCAGCCGCCCCCCACAGGAAGGGCAGCAGCAGCAGGAGCGAGCGGGAAAGAGCCCACCCCCCCCACCCCAGGCTGCCCCACGGGCCCCCCACGGGGCCCTGCAGCTGGCGAGGCTCAGCTTTGTGGGTCCTGAGTGGGGCTGAGCCTCGCCTGCCCAGCCCCGTGTGCACCCACAGGCGGAGGGCCAGAGCCCGGCGCCATTCCAACCCCTTCCAGGCTGGGAGGGGGGGCATGTCTATGGCCACGTCCGGGGCTGCCTGGGACTGGGGAGGCAGGTCGCCCTGGACACGACACAGCACCCAGGGCAAGTGGCTACAGGAGTACTTCCGACAACCCGTGTCCCCCCACCACCACCCTGAAACCAGCAGCTACACTTCAAAAGGAACATTTCAACCTCAAACAGACCAACAACTCCTGTGGGTCCTGCCTCACTGCCCGCCCCAGGCCCTGCGCCTCCCAGAACCTCCACCTTGGGCTCCCCGGCAACCGCCCCAGCGCAGGCCTGTGCCCACCGCCCTCACCCCTGCGGCCTCGGAGTGGGGCACACCCCAAGAGTCAGAGCACAGTAGGGGGGCCCCACGCCAACCCAGCCTGGCCCCTTGCCCGCACCAGGCAGGACCCCCCACCTGCCAGGCTGGCCCCCCAGTGGCCTCCACCTCACCGCTCACTCTGCACTTCCGGGGACCCCCTGCCCCCAACAGGAGGCGAGTAAAGCCCGGCCCGGGAGGGGGAGGCGTGGTAGACAGATGACCTGCCCCAAGCCGTAGCAGGCTGGGGGCAAGCACACCCAGTCCTCCCTAATTTTTTGCTCTTTTGGGTCTGAAAGTTTCCAAACCATGTATGAAACGGATCTGAATTCAAACGGAAACAAATGAACGAACAAACACAATCCCGACAAGGCGGAGGGCGGGGTACCCGGGGGGCGGCCCCACCCGCAGGACCGTGGGCAGCGGGCGGGAGCCAGGGGGCCCAGGTGCACCGAGGGGCGGCGGGGGCCGGAGGATGGGCACAGCCAGGGCCCCCGCTCCCTGCTCACGGGGACGGCAAGACCCATCGCCGCCTGCCACGCTGCTCCCCACACACAGCCCCCCCCACACACTCGCACACACACACACCCCACTCGCACGCAGACCCGGCAGGCCCGACCCCGGGTCTCGGGAAGAAGGAAAAACAAGGAGTTTGGCCCCTGGGGGCCCAGCCCTGGCCGTGGCCCCACAGGGGCGGGCGGGTTCCTCACAGGTAAGGACGGGGGTCCCCACACCACGGGCCCCTGGCTTCGTCCTGGCAGAGGGGCGGGAAGGGGGCGGCTCGGGCAGGGGCAGGGCGGGGCCCCAGGGCCCGTCGGCCTCACGCACCCTCCCCGAGAAGGGGGGGGAAGCTACACTTGGAGGCTGACCTCGCGCAGGGAAAGGGGGCCCGGGGGCCTTTCTCGCAACTCGGCAGCCAGGGGCCTAACTGTTTACAGTGTCACGAATGCAAGTTTCCTTCGTAAATTTTAAATACAAGCAGAATAAAAATCACATTTTTTTCAGGCAACAGCAGTTCAGTAGGTAAGTGGCTTGATCACATTGGTCTGTATTAGTAACGCATGCAAGCAGCTAGTACCGGTCCCGGCGCGTGCGCGGCGGCCCCTCTACAAGGTCCCCGCGTAGGAGCCCTCGGGTCTCCGGGCTGCAGGCGTCTGCGGCCGGCTGGCGCTGCCGCTGCCCTGCTCGAAGGGCTGCGGGGGGCTCTGGCCGGCGGGGGGCAGCGGCTCGGGCGCCGCCACCTCCTGGATCACGGAGCCGGCCCCCTCCGCCTCTTCGCCCGCTTCGAAGGCGGGGTTGGCGGGGGCGCCCAGGTCGACATTCACGGCGTCAGTTCTCAGGGCCACGATGGCGGCCGCGTCCGCCCGCCGCTCGGCGGCGTACAGGCGCTGATCGAACACCTGCGCCGCGGCGGGCGGGAACTCGGGGTCGAGGGGCACGCTGGCGGCCGAGGAGCCCATGACCGTGCGGTACATCTCCACGCCCTCGGGCAGCATGGACTTGATCTTGGGCAGCCAGCGCTTCCGGACGCGGCGGGCGTTGGTGCACATGTCCGCCGCGATCACGTTCATCTCGCTCTCCTTGAAGCTGGGCGCGAAGTTCTGGCAGTACACTGCGGGGGGGGGGGGGGTTGGGGACAGGTGCGGGGGCGCATGAGAAGGGCTGTGCCCCTGGGACTCCACGGCTGCCCACCCTCCACCTCCGAGGGGCTCCCGGGGCTGAGACACCTTAGACGGGCCTCGGGGTCAGGGTGGCCTCTCCTGGGCCGTTGGGGGCGGGGGATGGGTCCTGCTCCCCACTGGCACATAGGCCCCTTGTCCCCCGGTGCTCTCCGGGCCTCAGCTTAAACACTAGTGGCCACCCTTTCACCTCAAGGCCCTGCAGGCCACCCCCCCCCCCCTCCGCTCTGGGCTCTGGGACAGTCTCTGCTCAGACTGTTTGGGGGAGCAGAGACCCTCAGGGGACCAAAGGCAGGGCTGTGGCTCCAGCACCTGACCACTGGCTGGCTGAGCCCCTTAGCCTCTCTGGGCCTCACTGTCCCCTCTACTTTATCTTCCGGGCGGCCCGGCCAGCACCCCACACTTTCCCAACTGCAAAGGACCCCCTTTGCTCTCCAACAAGGTGTGATTTTGAGCATGTGGTGGGCCCACAGCTACAGGAGGACTCCCACTTGGGCAGCGTGGCCCGTGCTGGGCACCGCTTGCGTCTCCCGAGACGGGGGTGTGGGGCGGGGTGGCGTCTGCCACCGCGGTGGCCGGGCTCCGCCCCCGGGCGCCCAGGAGTGGGAGGCCGAAGCCGCGGAGCAGATGGCAAAGGCTCAAAATAACTTCCACATGTAAATAAAGGGTTTTGTTCAAAAAGGAAAATTAGATCTATTTCACATATTAAAATAGTTTCGCAGCTGAATTCATCACGCTTGGAAACCTACCAAGAACCTTCCCACCTCAAGACCTACTCCTTCTCCCCCCACCCTGACCCACAGCCCCGCCTGGCTCGGGGGACAGGCCACCCCCCGGCCCCCCAGGCCCCCCCCCAACCCCCCGGGGACCCTTACGTTTCACAGCGTTGAGGACTCGGCTGTCCAGCGGCTTGCGGCTCGGGTCACTGGTGGACGACCGGATGCCGGTGCCACAGCTGTTGGCCAGTGTGTTCCTGGCGGGGGCGGGGGGGGGGGGGGACGCAGGGTGAGGATTTGGCCACAGGCGGCCGCAGGCAACCACGGGTGACTGAGGGAACGGGCTCCCCTGCCCAAGCGCTGGACAGAGGAGCCGGAAGCCTGCATGTGTGGGGCTCATCCCCAGGGCTGGGGGCAGTGGGAGAGTAGGCCCCACGCCCCCTGGTGGACGGAGTGAGGAAAGCCCCTCACCTGGATGGTGGAGGGCGTTTCCTCACCTTGTTGGGGGGGGTCCCCAAGCCCTCCCAGAAATGCCCAAGGGCTGTGCCCTCCCCCAGACCTGCCCCGGGGCGTGAGGTCAGAAAGGTGAGGGCCTTGAGGAGCAGATGGCTGGGGCTCGAGCAGACGCCGGAGGCTCCGGGGCGGCCGAGGGGCCTACCTGTCGAAGAAGGTGGCGAGGAGCCTGCGGAGCAGCACCTTGTGCTTCACCCCCGCGCACAGGTGGCAGTTCATCAGCTGGCCGCGCGTGATGTAGACGCCGGAGCCTGCGGCCACCAGACACACAGTGAGGGGAGGCCCGGCGCAGCTGCCCAGCAGGCCCCTCCTCTGGGTGAGGGACCTGCCAGCCCCGGGCACCCCACCAGGCTGGGAACAAAGGGCTGTGGCCTCCCTGTCGGGAAGGGGATCAGGGCAGGGCTCCACCCGGTGGACAGGGCAAAGGGCCACACGAGACCCTGCTCTTCCCAGACTCGGGGACGTGGGGCCCCTTCCCTGACGTCACAGGGTTACCCCCATGAGCCAGGTCTCCAGGGGAGCCGGCAGCAGCCGGTCAGAGAGGCCCAAGGCCAGTCCTGCGTGAAGGCTGCCTGCAGGTGCCCGGTCAGTGCTCCCCGACAGTCCCCAGCCACCACAGGCCGGGCGTCCCCGAGGGCCTCGTGTCCAGCCACCTGCTGTCTGCAGACCCTCAAACTCAACAGCAGAGCAGGTCGCCCTCGGCCCCTCTTGTGGTGGGGAGACCCACCCAGGGGACCGGGCACAGGGGGGCCCAACAAGGAACCGGCCGGGAGCCGGCCAGAGAGGGCGGCCAGTCCTCGCCTCTGCCGACCCCGCCCACCAACAGGCAGGGGTCCGCGAGGCCCTGGCAGCTGGCAGAGGAAACGGGGGAGCCCCGAGGAGGAGGGCGACGCCCTGCTCCCGGCCAGCCCATGTTTGGGACCGCCTGGAAGGAGGGGCGAGGCCCCTGGAAAGAGCTCCATGCCCACCAGCAAGGGGGACAGGGCCACCCACATCCACCAGCCCCCCTGGAACAGCCTCACAATCTCCTCCTAACGGCTCCCACTGAGGAGATCAATGTTTCTGGCCAAGACACTGGCCCTCGTGGGCTTCTGACTCAGTCACATTGTGCCTTTTTCAGACGGGCCCGTCTCCGAGAGCTGCCGCTTGGAACCCCTGGTCGTCCCCCTACGGACGGGGCCCCCGTGGCACTCGGGGAGTCGGGGGCGGGGCCAGTAAACCGCGTGCGGCTCGGTCTCATCCAACACCCAAACAGGAGCACCACCGAGGCTGCCGCCCCCGCCAATCAGGAGCGAGATCAGCCCAGGGGATTCAATTAGAATGCTAAATGAATTCAATTGAATAACTCCTCTTAATGACACATTCTTCTAAAAGGAAATTAGAGGAAATAGACGTTCTATCTTTTTTTTTTTTTTTTTGACTGATTGGTGATGAGTACATATTGTTCACAGATCCGCAGAAAAAAATAACCGGGAGGCGTCTGGGCACACCGCGGCCGGCCCAGCGGCTCACCTGCCACCAGCTCCAGCTTCTCGCCGGGGTCCCCCTCCGAGTAGAGCTTGGGGTGGCAGCGGTACCCGATCTGGCTGATGAGGCTGGCCGGCAGGGCCACGAGGTCGCGGCGGATCAGGACGCAGGAACGGCTCTCCAGCGGCACTGGCTCCGGCTTCTCCGGCACTGCGGGAACAGAACAGGCCGGTCAGGGTCCCCGAGAGCAGCCCCGTGGGGGGGGCGGTACGGAGTACAGGAACTCCCGCCCTGGCCACCCAGGCCTGGGGGGGGCCCTGCTCCCCTGGCCCGCCCTGCCCTCTGCAGGGAGGACCAGCATAGACACGTGCATGGAGGAAAACAGGTGAGGGCTGCCCACTGAGGCCCCGGGGGCTCCCGGGAGGTGTCCACCAAGCAGAGGCCCGCAGGCCAGGCGGCCCTGTGGGTGCATGGCAGCCCGCTGTGGGTGGGCTCCTCCCTGAGGCCCCGCCCCCTGCACCTGGCGGAGAGGCAGCACTGTGTCTGCCAGCGGCACCACTGCGCCAGACAGATGCCGCCTCTGTGGATGCTCCTACCGGACCACTCCGGGGCGGCTGGCGGCGCGGGGCGGAGTCAGGGAGCCCTGAGCAAGCCAGCCCTGGTGGAGCGGGCCCAGCCACACCCGGGTCCAGAGTTGCCCCGCATCCTCACCATGCAGGGACCCCAGGCCACCCCCCCCACCCGTGCCCTTGGCTCAGCCCCTCTGCAGGGAGGCGCCCACCCGCCCGCTCGGGTGGAGGGCCACCCATTGTGCCTTCAGCCCAGCTGCAGCCGCATCCCAGGAGGAAGGAGGCCGTTTCCCCCAGTTAGCAGACCCCCAGCTGCACAGGTCTGGGAGTCAGAAGGGGCCCCCGTGGTGGGGTGGCATTTCCCACCAGACATGCTGGGGGGCCAGAGTGGGGAAGGCGGGTGAGCAGAGAGCAGTGGAGAACCTCCCCATCCCGCATCACCACCGGGAGGAATCAGGGTGGGGCCAGGAAAAAGCCCCGGTGACACTTTAAAACAGAATCCCCGCCCGGCCCTGCTGGCAGCCCGGTGCCAGCACGCACGGAGCACTCCCCGCTCCAAACGGCACCAGGTGTCTGCACCCCTCACACGCTGCCCTGCCCCCCAGCCCCAGCCCGGCTCCCCGAGAGCCAGAGACGGTCAGATCCAGAACAGGAGACGCACTCGCTGTTCCGCTGGGCACGTGCCAGCACCGCGCCGGCTAAAAATACCCAAACCCGAGGGGGCGCCTCTGGGAAGGTGCCCCGAATTCCTTCCTGCGCCCTGGTGCCTGCCCGGGCCCCTCCTTCTGGGGACAGGGCAGGGCCCCCAGTTACAACTTGGTTCTGGGGACCCAGAACACGTGTGCCCGGGGGGGCACAGTGATGGGAAGCCCTGGGCGGGTGGGTGGGTGTGACCACCTGCGGAGACTCTGCGTGTGACATCGAGGTCCCCAGAGCGCGGGGACCCACCCAGTGTCCTCCTGTCACCCTGGGTCCGGCCGCCGAGGCACGGCTGTGACCTCCATGACCCCAGACAAGGACGCGGACAGCAGCCACCCGGTGTCCGGCTGTGGGCCGCAGGCGTGCGGCCTGGGGAGCGTGGGGAGAAGCGCACGAGAGGCAATCAGTGCGCTGGTGTGCTGGGAGGGGGGTCCCCGCTGGTGATGCAGGGCGGAGGGGGGGCCGCAGGCGCACGGGCGGGCAAGCGGGTCCCACCACCAGCCGAAGGAAACACACGCATGGTCACAGGACACGTGGGTGGGCCCCCCAGGGGCTCCAAAGGGGGACCCAGGCGGGTCCCCGAGTGCCTCAGGTCCTGCTGCTCCTGCCCCGGCGACCCTGTGACCCTGTATGAACCCAGCCAGCAAAGAAGGGCCTGAGGACGGTGCTGTCAGATGGGCCAGACGCAGGAGGACACTCCTGTGAGGTCCCACTCACACGCGGTCCCCGCAGGGGCCGAACCGGCAGAGACAGGGAGCCCACGGTGGGCTGGGGCAGGGGTGGAAGTGGGGGTTCATGGGGACCGAGCGTCCGTGTGGGAAGATGGACGGTCCTGGAGAGGACGGTGGTGGCAGTGGCTGCACAGCGTGTGACTGTCCCTGCTGCCGCTGAGCCGTGTGCGCCCCGAGCCGGGGCGGGGACGGTGGCTGCCATGTGTGGTGGACCACAGTAACAAATAAATGTTCAAGGATGAGCAGAAGGAGGAACAGGTGCCGCAGGTCGGGAGGGCCACGCTGGCCTCGGCCGCTGAACTGCCTCGGCCTCCCGTGGGTCCCGACTCCCCGGAGCAAGTCACCGACCTCCTCCTCCCGCGGCGCAGCCTGGCCCCGGCCCCAGGGCGCTGTCCGGCCAGAGGCCCCAAGAGAACCCTGCTCCTGTCCCCAGACACACACAGTGTGTCCCTGGGGAACCTCCCGGGTGGCAGGGGCAGCCCCTCCTCTCAGGAGCCCCCCAGGGTGCGTGGAGGCCGGGCAGGGGCAGAGACGGCGACGCCCACCCCACAGGAGTCTGAGCCTTCTGGGAAGATGGCAGAGGAAGAGAATGACCCCCAGTTTCCAACGACATGGAGAAGTACAACTTAGAGCCGGACGGCAAGGACAGCGCCGACTCACGCTGTCCGGTGAGAAGGCTGACCGTGAGAACAGGTGACAGGAGACACCGATCGTGGTCCAGGAGGAGACCCATGCAGACATGCTCAAGCTGAGTGGTGACAGGGGTGCACATGCCACTCAGTGGAGGGGTGACAGCTGGTCTAACAAACGGTACTGTGTCATGGGCTGTGCACAGGCAGAACGCACACGAAAACCCCCTCCGCCTGGCCCGCGCACCTCACACACAAACCAGCAAAAAGGGCCCGCCTGGCTGGCGCGGCTCGGTGGGGTGAGCGCCGGCCTGCGGACTGAAGAATGAACAGAAAGGGGTCACAGACCCCATGTACGGCGCGCGCAACTGTAACACTTTCCCAAGAAGAGAAAATCTTTGTGATCTTGGGTTCCGCTAAAAGCTTAGACACGACCCCAAAGGCACAACCCACTGTGCCTTTTCACAGTAAAACAATTCACGGATAAACTGGACTTTATCAAAACGGAAACCTCCTTGGTCTGGGGAAGGTGAAAAACCAAGCCAGCGGTGGGCCGGAGGGAAGGTTTGCCGGTCCCGGGTCTGGTGCAGGGCTTGCCTGGAAAAGACACAGAGTGTTGCTCTCAACACTCCACAGGAAGAAGACGAGCAACCTGGTTTCAGAACTGGGCCAAAGATCTGGACGGACGCTTCACAGAGAAGATCCAGATGGTACACGGTCACACGGAAAGCGCTCCACCTCGTCGGCCACCAGAACAAGGCAAGATCAAGCCGCAGAGAGATGCCACTTCACACGCACAAGATTGGCTAAGCCTGAAACCTGAGCATAGCAAGTGCAGACAAGGACATGGAACAACAAGACCGTTGGCTGGCCCGGCCGGTGAACACAGAGGCACACGGGCACGCTGGGAAACGGCTGGCTGGTTTCCCAGGAAGTTACACCCACAGTGAGCCCGTGGCCAGGCAATCCCACTCGCAGGTGTTCACCCCGGAGAAACGGGGAATGAGGACTGTCCCCACGGCTCTCTGCACAAGGACGTCTGCCTCACTCCGACTGCAAGGGCCTCAAACGGGGAGCGGCCCCGGTGTCCCGCAGCAGGGGACACACACGGGGGGCCGCCCAGAGGAGGGGCTCGCAGCTCCATGTAGGAAGGAGCCCGTTACTGACACACACCCGGACAAACCCCGACTGACCCTGCCACAGCGAAGAGCCCACCTCCAGCGGTTGAAAGTGGGGTGACCCCTCGGCGTGGTGTTCTCTGAAAGACACCACGACAGGCACCGAGGACAGGTGCTTGCAGTGCCTTCCCGTGGTGCAGGCGGGTGGCCATGGGACAGCACAGGGGGGCCCGGGGGGCGACAGAGACGTCCTGTGTCGTGAACGCTCAGGCTGCCAGCTGGGCACCCACCAGACGGCGGCTCGCAAAGGGGCTGCCCCGTGAAGGACGTTGTCCGTGCTATCACGACCGACGGGGCAGCCGGGGCAGCTCCTGCGGGGCACTCAGGGCCCCGCAGCGGGGACAGGCGGGGTCACGGCGGGGTCGGAGAGCAGAAGCACCGTCAGTGTTCGAGGGACGCACCGCCGATATGAGGCGCACCCCAGTTCACGGATGCTAAAACGCGGGACAAGATGCATTTAGAGCCAGTGAAATGCGGTCTGTCGGGCGGGAAATGACGAGAGTCTGGTGGGGGACGCCCGGCAGAAAGGAGAATGAAGGTGGGAACAGAACACGGCAGGTGCCTGGGGTGACTAAGCTTGGAAGGTGCAGGTGCACCTGCTGGGGATGACACAGGCTGGATCAGACCCTGGACAGCACCCAGAGGGCCCGAGGCCGGGCCGCCCTACCCTGCGGGACACAGGGGCCGGCTGACCGCCCCTCGGAGACAGCTCAGAGCACCCGAACGCCCCCCTGGGCGTGGCCCCACCCAGCTATCCTGTCCCCGCCCCAGCCGGTGCCACCAGCGCCCATGCCCACTGCCCTGGCCTCCGCCCAGCCCAGTGAACTCTGCTGTGCGTGTCTCCTGCTCCCTGGTCTGGCCCTGGGGGACCCCGCTGGTGCCCTCACTGGCCTCCCAACCCTCCCCTGGCGACCCCACCAGCCCCTGCTCTCTGTGCCCACCTGGCCGCCCCCTTTAGCTCTCCGTCCTCCCGTGGGTCCTGCAGGCTCGTCCAGGGCTGTTCTCGGGACACGCGTGCAGCCCCCCACCCACCCGACCATGTGACACTGGCCACTAGGAACACCCAGTGGGGCTCTGTGCGCCTGGTGAACACGTTCGTGTAAAACCACACACGTGCCCACCCTGCCCGTGGGAGCAACCCCAGGACGCAGGTGCCCTGCAGAGCCCCAGAACGACGTTCCGCTACACGGCTTTAACACTCCGCCGGCCGTGGCACAGCTAACGCACTCAGCTTGTGAGGCCCCAAACCGCCCACGGTGGGGGCAACCCCCCCAGGACAGCTCCAGCAGCTGCCTGGACGGCAGGGCCCAACCCTGGCCTCAGCACGCGGGGTCGTGGCCCCAGAACTGGTTTCAGGCACCACCTCCCAACTTCACTTAGACGCGTCAGTCGACCTCAAAGCAG